CACTGTAGTTTCCTGCCAGTAACAAATTATCATGTACTCACGGGATGTTTTCATCATACAGCCAGAGTGGTTCATATATCCATCAAATCTTAAGAGTGTCTCTCAGCATGTCAGAGCATCTTCATTCCCACGCTGAGCCACATTCCTGCTCTCTCTCCCTGTCTGAACACAGCTTCCAGTTGGAACTCAGATCCACAGCTCCGTCTTTCCCTTTCTCTTTCCGTCTACCCCCAACTACCATGTGCCTGTCCCAACACTAAATCTCTCCTTCAACCCACCCCTTTCTGTGGCAGACTTGTGAACATTCACCCCCGTCTTCTTCCCCTTCAGCTCCTACTGCCCGACCCTCCTATCCAGCTCTGCCCACGACAACTCTTTTATACCCCACTCAGCAGATTTTTTGGCAAACATCTAAGCTATAGCCAACAGAGGAGATTGCCTCTGAATCCTTGGACTATCTTGTATTTCAATAATTAAAAATTAAGAATTTCCTACAATTTCCTAAAAGATGTTTCTCTACTCTCAGTCAGTTTTCTGTCCAGATTACATGAGGTCAGCTTTTACAGTTTTGTTCTCGAAACTTCATCCAAGAAGTGTTAAAAGTGATGTGGGAAAAGTTTAACTTAAACAAACAAAAGGGAAGAATGGTTTTTACAGACTCCAGATGTTGTTACAGCGGGTCAATGAAATGGAAAAAACGTAGGCAGCTGAACTCTGGGAAAACCATGACATAAACTGTCAGCAATCAGCAGCAGTGAATCATGCTGAGCCCCTCGGCTCACAAGACTCTGCGCTAACATCATCCTAACAGTAATATATGTCAATCTGTTTCAACTCTATGTCTGAAACAAAACAAATACACTCAAAGTCGTCTGATATGGTGAGAGTGTAGTTTCAAGTAAATAAATGCATAAAGAACACGATTTTTTTTAAAATAAAATATATTTTGACACAAACACACTTTTAAAAAAGCAAAAAGTCAACTCAATTTACCTTAGAGTTCAATGTAAATCTTTTAAAGTTAAAGGTGAAAGACTCAAATAAGTAAATGTTTTTATAAATCAAATCCAGAAGGACACTGGGGCCGGATTGGCTGTACAATACATCAATAGCCTAATTTTACATTATACTGATTAAATCCCCATAATTATGATTTATGAGGAAAATCTATTGGTTTAATATGCGGATAAAGCCACTTTAAAATGATCAGGGTTTTCCATGGCTCTGCGATTACGTAAGGATATCATAACCATCCATAATTTCCTATCATGTGAGTAGAATTCCAGATGTACTCCGCTTGCCCTCTGCCTGCCTCGCTGTGACACTTCTGCCATTTCCTCTCCTGGTCTAATGGGGCCAGGACTGGGTATAAAGCTTCAAGCACAGACAGAATGGCAGAGTCCCTCCACTTTAGTTACCTCAATAAATCATTTAACAGCAAAGACACTAAGAGCATGGCAGAACTTTAAAACGCTCAAACAAACGGTTAAATTTACTATCTGTGTATGCCCACACAAATGTGCCTCCTCCATACTTCGGTGCCACAAAATGAATCAGCCAGATGACTCAGACTGTAACTGAGTACTGAGACTGTCTATAGGAACACCTGGAGAATGACAAACAGAACCAGCAATATGGAAAAAAAAAGATTCCACTAGGAGGTGTCGTCATCCTGAGAAGCCTAGAGGTGAGGGCTCTCTTCTCCTTTATGATGCTAATTGCATACAGACACCCACTCACTGTGAGGAGTCAGCTAAGGCTAGACAGACAGCCAGGGGAAACACACTGCCCTTCTCCTAGTCTGCAACAAAACCACAACATCTGATGTTTCATGCTGAAAATAGCCTTACATTCCTTCTGTCTCACAGCTTATAATTGTGTACAGGGGAGCAAACAGGAAGCGCAAAAGAAGAGAACAGAAGAGTTCAAGGAAATGCTTGCAATTCACAAGGTGGATTAATAGTGTGCTGCCCCATGCAATTCACCTAATGCCGTGGGAATAAAGCCTTCCTATTTCAAAAGAAGGTCTTAATTAACAAAGCTCTACATGTCCCTCAGACTCCAATATCCTCAGCACAATATGCCACAGTGAAACAGGAGGTGCCACTGCTTAACATCACAACTGCCTTTCAGTTTATAACATTCACATTATCACTGATAAACTACTAAGATAGTGAAATAAAGAATACAAGTCAAATTCAAGAGACTTTGTTTCTCTCGTATTGAGTGACAACAGAGTACCTTTGCAGATTTGACTTTGTTCTTGATTGGCACATGAGCTAGATGGCTCCATGGGCCAAGTAATTACAGAGAGCCAATGTTGAATCATCCAGGGACCTCCACCCCCTCATTTGATCCTGTGGGGCACACAGGGGACCTGTTATCCTGCGGTCGACACAGGATGCAGGTTTAAAATGATCAGCTTTTGGCTGTGTTGCTAAGACACCAAAGCAAAATGTCCCCAAATACAAATGAGCTGTGCAAATCTTGGGCCAACTTCTGCCCTGTGGTCCACACTGACCTGTGGAGAGATCCTTTCATTGGCCGACAGGTCTCCAGTAACAAAGTGGATAAAGAAAATCTCCTGAAGAACAGAGACTTTAGGACAATCACAGTGTGAGCCCAGAAAAACCTGGTGCCAAGGCGGCATTAGCATTCTGAACCTGTGTAAGTGCAAGGTTTCACAATTAAATCTTAGATCCACAGACCAGCCTTTTAATCTATCATCATCAATTGGGCTTTAATTCTTTTCTTTGTCTGTTAAAAGTTATAAACCTTAGCATTTTTAATGACTGACGTCTACCTTTCATTTCTCAGCAGACACACACACACACAAACTCACAGCAAGCACTTATTGATTAAATAGTAAAATGAGTAAATAACATAACAACGTGAGCTAGAGATCTGCTGCTGTTGACCATTGCCAAAGCCTGCTGGGTCAAAAGTCATCTGGGCTGTGTTTTTCTCTTGAGGTCCTGTATTGAATTTAAACAAGAGCAGCACAGCTGTGGTAACACTCTCCTTCACCTCTGAAGGACACCCAGAGAGAAGGTTCTTTCATCTTCAGGGGAAACAACCCATCAGCTCGCTTTCTTTCACCATTCATATTGCCTTTTGTCTAGAAATAGCCATTAGAGCTTTTTCAGCATTCACAAGCTAGTAATAATAATACAATGCACAGTGACAACAATTAAATACCAAGACGCTAACTCACATACGCTCATTCCTGTGCAGTGTTGGTCAGCAGTAGGCTTAAAAAAAAAATTTAAAAAAAAAAAAAAAAACCTCCAGTAAAATTCCAGCTTGAAAATCATGCGGGAATGGCACGCTTCATGATAATCCAAACATCGCTAAACTCTAGTAAATAACTACAAATGGTTTCTAAAAGCAAATATCAGTTTATGTTCCAAGTCAACAGTCAGAAAGAAAAGGGAAAGCTTTCAAAATCACTCTCTTGTGCTGCCACAAACAGCCTTTCCATGGAGGATTTACAGATGATCCCAGACACAAACTGTAAACTAATAGCCATTCCTGCTGGCTGGGAGTCAGAGCCAGAAGACAAATAACTGGGTATGATGCTGGGGCCACGTGGCTTCTGAGCAAGCCAAGGCTTCAAAGTTCAAACCATCAGCTCTACAGTGTTTTCAGGCAGGCTGTTACAGTGTCTCACATTCACTTGGTTTTGAGAAAACGTTCTAACAATCACATGTTGAATCCCTGGGGTTGCTTTGCAAATAGCAAAAACTGAGGTTAGTGTCAAGTGTACTTCTGCTTCACAGACAGGTGTTCTGCTTCCTCCCCTTTGGTCACACTACAGGATACTTTGGCACATGGCTTCAAACTGACACTTAAACAGAAGTGTCTTTTACAACAGAAGGGATCTCTGACCCCAAACTCTAGAAGGGATGGTAATTTCCAGATCCCCATGTACCTCCACTTTACTGCCAACAGCTCTGAATAGAGAAGAAATCAATCAGTCGAGCTTTCTGTGAAATACATACCGCAGCAACTTCCAAGAGACAATGTGAAAGCTAAACACTTCCAGACACTGAACTGAAGCCACGTTCCCACGCATGTTAAAGTGTTCTGAAAACCATCGTGGAGGCCCTTTTCTTAAGGATTTGCTTTCTTTTGTGATAAAAGTATCAGCTTTGGCTTTTGCTGATTTCCTTCTTCATGCAGGCAAAAGTCCCTGAAACCTTGGACTATTTCCTCAACCCACAGTGATCTTTATAGATTAATCGTCGCTCTAGTTTTCAGATGAAATTATTCACTCTATCAACAGATAAGTAACACAGTGCAGGATTAATAACATGGGCAGGGCAGTAATAACATGCACCAAGGAGTTACTATCTGCTCTCATAAATTTTCCTTTTTCAAAACTGTGTTTTTTTTTTAAAGCCAACATAGGAAGCATAGCTTGTTGAAACAGATCCTAGAGAGCTATTGTACCTGTGGACATCTGTGCTTCCTGCAGTCCAGATGTAAGGCCTGCAATCCTATCAGACTTACGGTGAGCTCCACTTTCT